GTCTGGAGCATCCTTGGGCCAGGGGGAAAAGTTTTGTATAAACAGTGGGTTTGGCCCCCAAGGGCCTGAGGGGCGGGGCCCAATAGGGGAACATAGCAAAGTATTCTTTAAAATCCTTCTACTTCTGTAGGAATGACAGGATTTGGTCCATATTTGGTGTGGAGCATTCTTGGATTGAGGGAAACCAATTTTGTATAAACGGTTGGTCTGGCCCCCTTGGGGGCTGAGGGGCGGGGCCCAATATGGGAAATATAGCAACTTCTTAAAAATCCTTCTTTTTCTGTAGGAATGACAGGATTTATTCCATATTTAGTCTGAAGCATCCTTGGGTGAAGGGGTACCAATTTTGTATAAACCATGGGTCTGACCCTCCAGGGGCCTGAGGGGCGGGGCCCAATAGGGGAAACATAGCAAATTATTCTTTAAAATCCTTCTTCTTCTGTAGGAATGAAAATATTTGGTCCATATTTGGTGTGAAGTTTCCTTGGGTAAAGGGGAACCAATTTTGTATAACCGGTGGGTGTGGCCCCCCTGGGACCTGAGGGGCTGGGCCCTATAGGAGAAATAGAGGTAAAACCTTTAAAATCCTTCTTCTATCATAGGAATTAAGGGATTTTATCCTAATTTAGTCTGGAGCATTCTTGGGCCAAGGGGACTCAATTTTGTATAAGCAGTGTGTGTGGTCTCCCAGGGGGCAGAAGGGTGGGGTCCAATAGGAGAAATAGAGGTAAAACCTTTAAAATCCCTCTTCGACCATCGTGATTAAGGGATTTTTTCCTTATTTAGTCTGAAGCATCCTTTGGCCAAGGGGACTCAATTTTGTATAAACGGTGGGTATGACCCCCCTAGGGGCATAGGGGTGGGGTTCTGTTTGAAATTTGTTATATCTCAAGTACTGGATGGATCTTTCTGAAATTTCATATGTACTTACAGCACCTACCATTGAGTGCTATATCTTTATTTCATACCAATTATTTTAAACATATTCAGGTGAGCGGTACAGGCCCTCTAGGCCTCTTGTTATGAATTAATATGATTACGACGATAGTGATACTGGGTAAACAGACATCTACCCTCCCATACAGTGGTACTGGGTACACATACATCCACCCTCCCAAATAGTGACACTGGGTACACAGACATCTACCCTCCCATACAGTGAAAATGGATACACATCCATCCACCCTCTCATACAGTGATACTGGGTACACAGACATCCACCCTCCCATACAGTGAAAACGGATACACATCCATCCACCCTCCCATACAGTGATACTGGGCACACAGACATCCACCCTCCCATACAGTTATACTTTGTACATAGACATCAATCCTCCCATACAGTGATACCCGGCACACAGACATCCACCCTCCCTTACAGTTATACCCGACACACAGACATACACCCTCCCATACATTGATATCCAGCATACATACATCTACCCTCCCATACAGTGATACCAGGTATACAGACATCTACCCTCCCATACAGTGATACCGAGTACACACACATCCATCCTCCAATACAGTGATACCGGGTACACAGACATCTACACTCCCATACAGTGACACTGGGTATACAGACATACCCCACCCGTACAGGGATACTGATACGCAGACATCCTACCTCCCATACAGTGATACCAGCTACACAGACATCTACCCTCCCATATAGAAATACCGGGTACACAGACATCTACCCTCCCATACAGTGACACTGGGTATACAGACATACCCCACCCGTACAGGGATACTGATACACAGACATCCTACCTCCCATACAGTGATACCAGCTACACAGACATCTACCCTCCCATATAGAAATACCGGGTACACAGATATCCACCCTCCCATACAGTAATACCGGGTACACAGACATCCGCCCTCCCATTAAGTGATACCAGGTACACAGACATCTACCCTCCCATACAGAAATACCGGGTACACAGATATCCACCCTCCCATACAGTAATACCGGGTACACAGACATCTACTCTCCCATAAAGTGATACTGGGTACAAAAACATCCACCCTCCCATACAGTGATACCGGGTACACAAACAACCACCCTCCCATACAGTGATACTGGGTACAGAAACATCCACCCTCCCATACAGTGATTCAGGGTACATAGACATATACCCTCCCATACGGTGATACTGGGTACACAGACATATTAACTCTCCGATACAATGATACCAGGTACACAAACGTCTACCCTCCCTTACCGTAATACTTGGTACACAGACACCCATCCTCCCTTACCGTGATACCGGGTACACAGATATGCACCCTCCAATACAGTAATACCGGGTACACAGACATCTACTCTCCCATACAGTGATATCGGGTACACAGACATCCACCCTCCCATACAGTGATACTGGGCACACAGACATCCACCCTCCCTTACAGTTATACCCGACACACAGACATCCACCCTCCCATATAGTGACACTAGGTACACAGACATACACCCTCCCATCCATTGATATCCGGCATACATACATCTACCCTCCCATACAGTGATACCAGGTATACAGACATCTACCCTCCCATACAGAGACACTGGGTATACAGACATCCCCCCACCCGTACAGGATACTGATACACAGACATCCGCCCTCCCATATAGTGACACTAGGTACACAGACATACACCCTCCCATACATTGATATCCGGCATACATACATCTCCCCTCCCATATAGAAATACCGGGAACACAGATATCCACCCTCCCATACAGTAATACCGGGTACACAGACATCCACCCTCCCATACAGTGACACTGGGTATACAGACATACCCCCACCCGTACAGGGATACTGATACACAGACATCCTACCTCCCATACAGTGATACCAGGTACACAGACATCTACCCTCCCATATAGAAATACCGGGTACACAGATATCCACCCTCCCATACAGTAATACCGGGTACACAGACATCCGCCCTCACATTAAGTGATACCAGGTACACAAACATCCACCCTCCCATACAGAAATACCGGGTACACAGATATCCACACTCCCATACAGAAATACCGGGTACACAGATATCCACCCTCCCATACAGTAATACCGGGTACACCAACATCTACTCTCCCATAAAGTGACACTGGGTACACCAACATTTACCCTCAAATAAAGTGATATTGATTACACAGACATCAAGTCTTCCATACAGTGATACTGGGTACAAAAATATCCACCCTCCCATACAGTGATACCAGGTATACAGACATCTACCCTCCCATACAGTGATTCAGGGTACATAGACATATACCCTCCCATACGGTGATACTGGGTACACAGATACACAGACATCCACCCTCACATACAGTGATACTGGGTACACAGATACACAGACATCCACCCTCACATACAGTGATACTGGGTACAGAAACATCCACCCTCCCATACAGCGATACTGGGTACACAGACATCTACCCTCCCGTACAGTGACACTGGGTATACAGACATACCCCCACCCATACAGGGATACTGATACACAGACATCCACCCTCCCATACGGTGATACTGGGTACACAGACGTCTACCCACCCGTACAGGGATACTGATACACAGACACCCACCCTCCCATACAGTGACACTGGGTACACAGACATCCTCCCTCCCATACAGTGATACCGGGGACACAGACATCCACCCTCCAATACCGTGATACTCGGTATACAGACCTCTACCCTCCCTTACCGTGATTCCGGGTACACATACATTTACCCTCCCTTACCGTGATACGGGGTACACATACATTTACCCTCCCTTACCGTGATTCCGGGTACACATACATTTACCCTCCCTTACCGTGATTCCGGGTACACATACATTTACCCTCCCTTACCGTGATACCGGGTACACATACATCTTCCCTCCCTTACAGTGATACTGGGTACAGAAACATCCACCCTCCCATACAGTGATACTGGGTACACAGACATCCACCCTCCCATACAGTGATACTCGGTATACAGACGTCTACCCTCCCTTACCGTGATACCGGGTACACATACATTTACCCTCCCTTACCGTGATACCGGGTACACATACATCTACCCTCCCTTACAGTGATACTGGGTACACAGACGTCTACCCTCCTATACAGTGATACCGTGTACACATACATCTACCCTCCCTTACATTGATACCGGGTACACAAACATCCATTCTCCCATACAATGATACTGGATACACAACACCAACCCTCCCATACAGTGATATCGGGTACACAGACATCTACCCTCCCATATAGTAATACAGGGTACACATACATCCACACTCTCATACAGTGATACCGGGTACACAGACATCTACTCTCCCATACAGTGATATCGGGTACACAGACATCCACCCTCCCATATATTAATACAGGGTACACATACATCCACACTCCCATACAGAAATGCTGGGTACACATACATCCACACTCCCATACAGAAATGCTGGGTACACAGACATTCACACTCCCATACAGAAATGCTGGGTACATAGACATCTACCCTCCAATACAGTAATACTGGGTACACAGTTATCCACCCTCCCATACAGCTATACCGGGAACATAGACAGCTACCCTCCCATACAAGTAACTTGGAACACACGACATCCGCTCACCTATATACTGATACCGACTTCACAGTCCTACCCTACAGTGACCAAATGTTGACAGATACTGTACCTATCCCCAAATATGTCCTCCAACACTGTTACATTGAGTAATTATAAAGACTATTTATTCAGGTTAAAGGCAGGCATTACACTTATATCACATTTGGCAATTGGACATATATATTAATATATGTAATCACAAATAATATCTATAAGTTACTTTATGCTTTAGAACTTGTAGTCAGTCAGGGTGTTAAAAACTTGATTGGATATGATTAATTATACACGAATCCTGCTTTATATACAGTGACACAGGAAAAACCGATATATTTCGACCCATGCAATGACTTAGCTAAGGATTTAGCAAATATCTAGTGAAAATGATATTTTAAAATATTTTTCAAAAATCAGTAAAAAAATATTTCAGGTACTGTTTTTTGGTTTGTCCAAGAATATGTGCATTAAATAGTTTTGAAACCCGCCTTTGATTCCTAAATAGAAATCATATTTTAACCGAAGCAATTAAATGTTCACTTATATTGATAAGGTTTTCTGAGTGAATTTTAAAGTACAAAACGACTAATAAAATCCGGACCGGATGAAACTCAGGCCGTACGTGCCGTAATTTAGAACCGTATCCCCCTTTGTGACGAGTAGAGGCGTGGCGGCGAAGGAGAGGACCGTACCGACGTTTCTGTCAAACTTTGTGGCTATTGCGAAGATAGAACAGTAAGTCACCATTTGTATACGGACCATTAGACACAAATAACATGACAGCAAGTCATTACAATTGACAATTAAGGACATTCTAATATGCCCATATGGCTGCCACACCAAACTATATATGAAATTCAATAATGCATTCCGTTAGCATTAAACAATCCCTATCACAAAATAATACTCCTCCAATATTTCTCAAACATAATTGAGGTACATGCACACTAAATTTCAGATAAAAACATTCAATAACTGAGCAAAAAACTCACTTTTTATATGTCCATTTTCCAAGCTAAATAAAAGTCACAATTCAGGATTTTTTTTATTTAAACTTGTAAATACAGTATCATAAGGTTGAAGGTCCATGGAGATGCATTTGTCGAGAAAATTGTAAGAAAATGTGTCTAATTTCAAAAATAATGGCATATATTTCCCCTGAATAAATAACAACTGATCATGAGCACAAAGCGAACAAGGCTGACTGAGGTTGGAAAAAAGCATGGAAAGTAAGTGGACTCCATTCACTACAGGTTCTCACTCGGCTAATATGGCTTGACTTGTATAAAAAGTCTTGTTAGCTTGATGAATAATTGTAAAATATCAAATCAAAATACATGTCATCATCTCGAGATTTGAAGCATTTTCTCACATTTTTCTCGACAAATACATCTCAATGGACATCCAACCTTATGATATTTACAAGTTTAAATGGGTTTTTAGCCATCCGTCTTCGTCCGTCGTGCGTTGTCCGTTAACATTTACATTTTCAACTTAAGCTGAAATACTGGCAAATGGTTTCATTAATATTTCATGGGAAGGTTACTGACATCTCCTTGACCAAGTGTTGTTATTTTTCGGGTCGATCAGAAATCCAATATGGCCGCCACTTTAAAAAACTATTTCAAACTTAAAGTCAGGTTCTGCTAAACCGATTGAACTGAAACTTGGTAGGAATGATCGACTCATAGTCCTGACAAAATGTTGTTATTTTTCGAGTCGATGAGAAATCCAACATGGCCGCCACGGCCGCCATTTTGAAAAAAAACCTGTTTCAAACTTGAAGTCAGGTTCTGCTAGGCCGATTGAACTGAACCTTGGTAGGAATGATCGACTCATAGTCCTGACAAAATGTTGTTATTTTTCGAGTCGATGAGAAATCCACCAGGGCCGCCACGGCCGCCATTTTGAAAAACTATTTCAAACTTAAAGTCAAGTTCTACTGGGCCGCTTCAACTGAAAATTTGTAGGAATTATCGACTCATGGTCCTGAATTGGTTTTTTTGGGGTTGATCAGAAATCCAATATGGCCGCCACTTTAAAAAACTATTTCAAACTTAAAGTCAAGTTCTACTGGGCCGATTCAACTGAAACTTTGTAGGAATTATCGACTCATGGTCCTGAATTGGGTTTTTTGGGGTTGATCAGAAATCAAATATGGCCGCCACGGCCGCCATTTTGAAAAAAAACAGTCTCAAACTTGAAGTCAAGTTCTGCTAGGCCGATTGAACTGAAACTTGGTAGGAATGATCGACTTATGGTCCTGACAAGGTGTTGTTATTTTTCGGGTCAATCAGAAATCCAATATGGCTACCACTGCTGCCATTTTGAAAAACTATTTCTAACTTAAAGTCAAGTTCTACTGGGCTGATTAAACTGAAACTTTGTAGGAATGATCGGCTCATGGTCCTGACAAAGTGTGTTTTTTATCGGGTCGATCAGAAATTTACAATTTGGCTGCCACGGCCGCTTTTTTGAAAATAACTATTTCAAACTTAAAAACAAGTTCTATTAGGCCGATTTAACTGAAACTCGGTCTAGGAATGATCAGCTCATGGTCCTGTTAAACTTAAGTTAACGTTATACTGAACTATTTTTTACTCAAATTGTTACATATTTCAACAACAAAAACAAATACCGTAGGGCCCATGGGCCTCTTGTTTTCCTGAATTGTGATATTTATTTAGCTTGGAAAATGAACATATAAAAAGTTTTTCATCAGTTATTGAATGTTTTTTTCTGAAATTTAGTATGCATATACCTCAATTATGTTTGAGAAATATTGGAGGAGGATTATTTTGTGACGGATTGTTTAATGCTAACGGAATGCATTATTGAATTTGATGTACAGTTTGGTGTGGCAGCCATATTGGAAAGTGTCGTAATTTGGGAGAACAGCAATGATTGTAACAACAAGCTGATACTAATGATAAACATATGTGAAACGAAAGTTAGGCCAATAGCAGTAAAATTGGAAATGGCAAAACGTTGATATGTAATATATATATGTTATGATGCTTCATGATTGTCGGACAGAGACATAGTTCGATATGGAACTGATCAGAGATCACTTATAAGGTCAGGTTGTACATGGTTGCTTTCATTTTATTTATGTCATTGTTAGCCGGCCTTTCTAACGCAGGGTTTGTATTCAATATTGCTCGGTTTAAGTCCAGGAATATAATCATTCAAACACGACTACCTCAGTGTGCGCGCATTATCAGAATTTCTTTTAAATCTATTCAACGAGCGCTTTTACTGTTATTTGTAACAAGGCAAAGTCTTACAAGGCAATCCATAGTCCCCCACCGGTAACGATTTCTATATTTAACAAACAGTACACTTATGTCCGGATGTATCTATTGTTAAGAAAGTATCCTGATACATAATACAACTTAACGACGTTAAAGGCATCTTTGTAACGGTAAAACTTGTTTTGTTACCAACAGAAGAAGTTTATTTGCATTATTGTTTTATAAAGTAAATCTGGTTACACCAGGTGAAATAGTATTAGAAGAAATGCCCCGGATAAACTTTTTTCAAAAGTTGAGGTAAAAGCATAGGTCACCATGAGGTCATAGTGACCTTCTTCTTGCACTTTGCATTCCGCCCTCCCAAGATGTCATTGTACACCAAATCCAATTACTTCATGTAAAAAAGATATTTCTTTGACATACTTTTTCAAAAGTGAATGTCAAAGGTCAAGTCATAGGTCATAGTGACCTAATTTGGGAGCCAGTGGGGGACTTATAAATGAGTTATCTCCCTTCTTCCCCTTACACTTCCTGTTTCCCGTCGTCGTCTTTTAAAAAAAAAAAATCAATGTGTTTTAATAGGGAGTCGTGACATTAAGTTTTCAAAAAGAAAATTTATAACGCACAAGCGACTGACAACGTCAGAAGCCGCGCAACGACATTACCATTTAATAAAGTACCTGATTTTAGTTTCAGCCTGAATTATCTATTGTAGCAATAAAAAGGAACAATGCATTTTGATTTGATAATTCTACAATCACATTTATATGACCAGCAGATTCCAATTGAATCAAACAAAGTTGTGGAAACATTAATAATTTCAATAAATCTCCTGTGCTCTTCCATCCGCGCCAAAATAGTGATTAGTATAAATAGAAGGAAATCTGTTTAGTAATTGTTATAAAATATATAAAGTTTATGTATTCAATGATATTACACCAAAGATGAAATTGGCGTTCTCTTATGTAATTTAATAACATCATTAACATGTTGGAATTAAAACAGTAATGTATCAATCTCATTCATGTACACAAAGTCAATTATATTATTCCGTACTGATTTTGTAAAAGAAATATACTGTTTCATAATTGTTGTTAAAAAGATAAAGTTTATTATTCAATGATTTCAGATTAAAGGTGAAAATTGCGTTCTCTTATGTTAAAGATCTACTCTTTGTTGTATCATGTATGCAACGAGAAGTCAAGTTAAATAAATATGTAAGGATTTCGTCGGACAAAGTGGTTTATTATCTACAAGGTATTGATTTTGTACATTTATTTTCTACATGTAGCTAACAAAGACACGTCGGTCAGAATGGCGGATGGTGGATCAGACTACGAACAGTCGTCGGTAGATGGCGCCATGCGTCAGTCCCTGGACTCCCACTTATTGGAATGTCCTATCTGTCTGGAGCAGCTGCGACAACCGAAGTCACTGCCTTGTCTACATTCGTTTTGTCTGGAATGCCTGGGTAGCTACATCACTAAGGAGTTGTCAGGTAAGATGGCGTCAGCGTCTTCTTTCTCCTGTCCTGTGTGCCGGAAGGTCACTGAACCGATGAACCAATCAGAATTCAAAGAGAGTTGGGCCGAGCAATTCCCCACCAACAATCTGGCAGTCGAAATACTCCAGCAATTACAAAAGACGGATAAGTCGATCACGTGCAAACCATGCGAGACTAAAGGAAATAAGAATGTCCCGGCGAAGTTTTGGTGTAAACATAACAACGCTTATTTTTGTACAGACTGCAAAATTAACGTTCATGATTTGCTTCATGGAGAATGTGAACCGCAAGACATCTCTGAAGTAAACATGTCGGCTTTACTACAACAGAAGGCCTCACTCACTGGATGTGGGAAACACAAGGAGAAGATGGAATATTACTGTGAAGATCATCAAATTCTGGGATGCAACAAATGCATTATTGTCGATCACCGGAAGTGTGAAGTGGTGACGTCAGCAGAGGATTACCGGGACAAGTTGAGGAAAAGCTCTAACATCGACGATCTGCTGGAGGAACTTCGTAAAAGTGCAGTCGCCATGGAAATACTGATAAAAGATGTTGGAGAGCAACTTAAAACTATGACACTAGATCAGGACACTGCGCTGCAAAGTTTGACCGACATACGCAAACAGATTGACGAGCGGTTCGATGTACTACAGAAAGATCTCACAGACAAACTGATATCAGCCTTCAAAGAAGAAAAAGAAAACCTGGAGATATTGAGACAGCAATGCGAACGGCTGATGTTCTCTATGCAGAACACGTTGATGTCCTCCAAGGATGCAGCTTTGAAAGAAGACATTGTGGGGACGATTAATCTCTTCCAGAGAGGACAGGCGGAGGTCAAGTCCTGTAAGGAACTCGTAAAGGAGTTGGAGCGGTCGTCTAGATCTACCAGTATCAAACATAAATATGATCCGGACATACTCTCAGTCGGCAACAACACCAGCCTCACGATGGGGAAAATAGTCGTTGATCAACAACCGAGGAGACTGCCATCAACTGTGTATAGTAACATAGTACCTTTGTCTGAACGTCATTTGAAGATGACGGGGAAGTTCTCTATCAAAGTTCCATCAGACAAGTCTGAATATTCCGCGTATGGAGTTGTCTTACTGTCTGGTGGTCGTATTGTTGTTGCAGACAAAGAAAATAGAAAGATGAAACTATTTACAGAAAAAGGTGATTTTAAATTTGAGCTGGAACTTACGGATGCATCATGTGATCTTTGTCGAATTGATGACAACACTGTGGCAGCGATACTGATAGATGTCAAAACAATATGTATTGTCAATGTCGGGGACTCAACCTTGACCGTTTCATCGAAAATCAAGATTCCAAAGCTTGATGAAAGCTGTCTTGGTGTCACATACCACAACAACTATTTCATTGTCGGTACAACAGAATCACTTTATAGTGTACCAGCAAGCGGAGGTGAACCTAAAAATCTTCTCACATTTAAATCACAATGTTTGCACCTCGCAAGCAATCAGAAGAATGGACACGTCTTTGCTAGTATCCATACCTCTACCCCAGACGAGGTGGTCGTGATCCGACTGTCTGACGAAGCACACACACATGTACTGAAGGTCGGGCTGGTTAAAAGTACAACAGGAATAGACGTGGACAGGGAGGGCAATTTGTATGTTTGTGGAAGTAGTTCAAACAACGTCATACAGATGTCTGGGGATGGAAGAAACATCAGGGAACTGCTGACGTCATCAGATGGAATCAAACGACCGAGGGCCATTTCTGTGTGGGAGGATAGGATAGTAATTACAAACGGATCGAAATACCAAAATAATTTTGTACACATGTTCCAGCTCGTCTGGATGATAGGACATCCCGATAAAGTATAGACCGGTGATATATAGGATAAAGTATAGACCGGTGATATATAGGATAAAGTATAGACCGGTGATATATAGGATAAAGTATAGACCGTTGATGTATAGGATAAAGAAACTGGTCGTGTTTGGACGGATTATGTTAATCATTTCAGGACCAAATCCCATACAAGAAAACTTGACCCACATGGCAAGTCATATACTATAGATGTTTAGGTTGTAGGGTTTATGTTTACGTTATCCTACGACCCTTCCACTAACTTAAATGTATCATGTCTTGCCAAGTGTTATGTATAGTCAACGTGATTTTGTGAAACAAGCTCGCGTCAAATATTGTAAGAAGAACTCGGCGCTATGTACCAGACATCTCCACCTGCACGTTTGATAAAAGATACATATAAATACCATAATAGAGGATCTGTGTAACTAGAACCATGTCACTGAGAAAAGGGAAACATTTCCATCAGTGGTTGTAGTGATGATTGACAGTGTGTATTGTTACGTAACTATAGGCTGGAGTGACACGTGACAGTGTGTATTGTGACGTAACTATAGGCTGGAGTGACCAGTGACAAGTTGAACACTATAAGTTTACACAGTGGTGGGGTCGACTGGCAATTGCACAGCATCATTAATGATCAACTTTGACCTTAAATATGCATAACACTAATTAAGTCGGTAATAGATGCAAACAAAAACTAGACTGATATGATTGAATGGGCAGTCTACACCTTGCCATCGAGAGAGCAAGACGACCGGCTCCGTTCAAGCGGTTTATTTCAGGACAAAACAACATTAAATAATACGATGGTATTAAGTTAACTTTTTTGTTAACTCCTGTGTTACTATTATTATGTCGTACTTGTAACATTTGACACTGATAATATCACGAATATGGAGGATAAGTAGGGGTAAAAAAGTGATAACTGAAATTTAAGTACACGACATGTAAATAAGAAATACAAAGTTATTACCTTTTCAACTATTCTTTGGCAAATTCTCAGAAAAATGGCCTTTTAACTGTATACATGAAACAACTGATTATGCTCATACATAACTTAAACACTTGCATGATTTCAAAAGCATCTGTCAATCACGAACGCATTAGTTTAAGTAAAGCTTTCAACATAGCATTCTGATGGTTAGATATAAGTTCTCAGCTTATAAGTTATTAAAATGGCCAACTGCCCCTGAGGTTTTTCTACTAGCTTATCTCGTCCTAGTACACGAAAAGACACGACCTAAAATTTCGAAATCCAAGTGATCAAAGTTAATTTTTCTGAAAATTTCAATACTCTGAAGACGGAGGTCAGTTTAGTAAACCAGCAAATCGAACGAAATCTAAATGTGTATCTAGGTTAATATAACAGAATCTTAGCGTTTTCCATATTAGATACATGTACTAGTAGTTTATCACTCCAGTGTGTTACCTTACAGCAGTCCTGCTGGGACACATGTGTTATCCACATACTATTCAAGAGTAACACAATCTGTTGGGATATATTTCACAAGAATAATTCATTTTACATGGAACTAATGAAAATTTTGATTTTTGAAGTGTCATTCGATATTCAGTTTTTCATTTATTTGAAAATTTAAAATATCATCTTTAACAGAATGTCAATTTACAAAATGTTATCCTTGCATTTACAAATTAACTTTCAATTAAGGAAATAACCCTTTGTCATTGTTTGAAACATGTTTTAAATATTGATTTGATTTTGAATAAATGGACTGATGTAAATGTAAACAGTATCAAAAGTTTAAAATGTTTTTCATTTAATATAAAAAAAATAAAAAAATGTTTATCCCTCATTTCTTGTTTCGTTTTTTTTTGTTGAGGGTACTACTGTAAACCGGGAAACTGTCGCCTAGTAAAACATTCTCCCCCTACCGACAAAATCTATGTTTACCCTGTGTTAATTTCGCCCTTCACCTTTAATTACAATATATGTTTTATGTTGCATACTAATATTCACGGTCATGATAAATTCATCCTCATTAGGGAAAGCGAAAACGTCTAAAGTTAAACTGCGGCGAACATTGCCCTGTATACCGTATATATGGTCTTGTTTATAGTAAAGTTCCCTTTACTAGTGACAGAAATATAGGATCTTACATGAATTTCCATTTCATATGAGATTTATGAAACGAGTCTCTAAGTTTTTTTTATTCAGTGAGCCTCTGGCGAGCTAAAATGAAAAATTCGTGACGAGTTCAATAAATTTCATATGATATAAATACAAGTGTAGGATCCTTTTTATCACATAATCAAGATTTGTGGCATTTGTTCGTGTAAAACGTCAATTTTCAGGCACCCGTGAAATGTAAAAAAAAACAACGCCATTTTGACTCCAGTGCGTAAGTCTGTGACGTGATGTACTTATCCTAGGCCTGACGTCACAATTGAAACAATTGTTACACAACCGATCACAGGGATGATATGTCCTATTACATGGGTTAATACGCAAAAACGTTTGACATGGGTATATTCACTGGAAAACACAGTACATTATGTGATAAATAGTAAATTGATGTACTGTGAGAAACAAGTCTGCTATTATCCTCAACCTTTATCCATTTCTAACAACGAAGCCAGGGATGGTTAACATTTCCAATTTTTAAAATACAATTGGAAAATCTATGTTGAAAAAAAAAATTTGAAAGTCAAACTGTCTTCTTATCGTCTGATAATCTGTTACTGTCACAAGAGCGTTAGTAGTATAGTTAAATGTTCAAGAAATAAAAAAAACATTCTTAATGGAAAACGCGTTCCCTTTAATGGTAGCAGAAAGGAAAAAATAATGTAATGTGAGAAAAAAGGCTGCCGTTATCCTCAATATATATCCATGTCTAACAACGAAGCAAAGGATCATTGAAATAACCATTTTTCAAAATACCATTGTAAAAGTTTATGTTGAAGAACTGTTGATTAACTTACAAAGTCAAACTGTCTTTCTAACGTCTGTTTTAATCTGTTTCTGTCATTAGCGAGTAAAACGTGTGTCAAGAGTTATGTCCCATTGAACGTCTTTCAACACTGATGTGTGTGACATAAAAACACAATGCTATCATGGTTATTAACATTCACTCGTAAATGTTAGAGAACAAACTTACAAATCACTGTTTTAAATAACATACTGTACACGTTCTAAATGAATTATCACTATAATAGTTCCTTCAGACAAATACAACTGTTCTGCGAGGGAAGGTATTGCATGTCCTTAACATCTAATCTATATACTACTTCAGCCTATCATAGAGATCTACATTTCTAAGATCCCCCCCCCAAAAAAAAAAATGAGACGTGGTACAGAGACATCCAATTGCAACAATGTAAAATCGAGTATAACTGCAGCAACCGCAATGACACAAGGCATATATATATATATCTGTCATGCCGTAAACAGGGTACATATATCTGTCGTGCCGTAAACAGGGTACATATATCTGTCGTGCCGTACACAGGGTACACATATCTGTCATGCCGTCCACAAGGTACAGATATATGTCATGCCGTACACAGGGTTCATATATCTGTCATGCCGTACACAGGGTACAGATATCTGTCGTGCCGTAAACAGGGTACATATATCTGTCGTGCCGTAAACAGGTTACATATATCTGTCGTGCCGTACACAGGGTACAGATATCTGTCGTGCCGTAAACAGGGTACATATATCTGTCGTGCCGTCCACAAGGTACAGATATCTGTCATGCCGTACACGGGGTACACATATCTGTCGTGCCGTACACAAGGTACATATATCTGTCATGCCGTAAACAGGGTACAGATATCTGTCATGCCGTAAACAGGGTACATATATCTGTCGTGCCGTAAACAGGGTACATATATCTGTCGTGCCGTACACAAGGTACAGATATATGTCATGCCGTACACAAGGAACAGATATCTGTCGTGCCGTACACAGGGTACACATATCTGTCGTGCCGTCCACAAGGTACATATATCTGTCATGCCGTACACAGGGTACAGATATCTGTCATGCCGTAAACAGGGTACAGATATCTGTCGTGCCGTACACAAGGTAAAGATATCTGTCATGCCGTACGCAGGGCATATATATCTGTCATGCCGTACGCAGGGCATATATATATGTCATGCTGTACGCAGGGTATATATATCTGTCATGCCGTAAACAAGGTACAGATATCTGTCGTGCCGTACACAGGGTACAGATATCTGCCGTGCCGTACACAAGGTACATATATCAGTCATGCCGTACACAAGGTATATATATCAGTTATGCCGTACACAAGGTACATATATCAGTCATGCCGTACACAAGGAACATATATCTGACGTGCCGGACACAAGGTACATATATCAGTCATGCCGTACACAAGGTACA